GTATATTAGATTGCTTTGGCTTTGAGAGATCGATCATCAAAAGCTCCGGAAGATGTCAGATTCCATTATCAATTCGAAAAGACTTCACTTTTCATTCCCATTGACAATAAATCTCGTTATGCTTTTGCCTGAACCTGGGTTGGAAGGGGTTCTCTTCCACTGTTGGTGCCCACGTCTGCTGTCCGGTCAGGTTCGTCACTTGCTCAAGCAGAGAGTGATAGGGCCTCGTTCGACACCACTTAAAATCAAGGGTTGAAGGAAAACTCTTTGTTTCATCCCTCCTTAATGACACCGCCGTAATATTTTCACTTTCCTTCTCTTAAGTGCGCATCGTTGAAACTCAAGTGCGCCTCGGTGGGGCAAAATCACACTTGAACTCAAGGTACCTTGAGTACAATTGCAAACGGATACCTCCGAGCACTTCAAGTGTTTTTTTTTTTTTTTTTTTTCGTTTTCTCCAGAAGGCGATCCTGGTACAGGATTAGTCAAGTTGTGGGTTTCGGTTTCATGTGCAGCTTGTTTAAGGGTTTCCTCAAGTGTATGTCGAACCATAAATCGAGTTAGTGTAAATTAATCACAATTTCTGGTTCACGGCGCACCCTAATCACAAAATCATGGTTAATTTTCACTACAAGAAATCTTCGTTCCATGTGCACGAGACGCCACCCTTTAAATTGGCACCCTTGAAACGAAAACACCTTGGGCCCCCATTTCACGGGGAGCTGGTCGGTGCCACGAAATCCAGTAGTGCGGCCCCCGGACGAAATGATGTCCGTCTTCACGCAGGCCCACTCGCCTGAGGGACCGGTGCGGGTACCGCCGACGGAGGAAAGCGACAGCGCCATTTTTCAAATTTTGAATTTTCGGTAGCCAAGGTGTCGTGGTGACCGCGACTGTGAAATCCCCATGTCCAGTCGCTGAATACTCGCCATCTTCACTCCTTCGTGCATGTGCAAGCGGGCGCAGTTAACCGGAGTGTCCAGTTTGTCGTTGCCAAAGGCAACTCCAGGGGTTTTAAAGCGGAGTTTGAAGGGTGAGACGGGGGTTAACGCCATGGCTTTATGCGGCGAGGAGAGCACGGTGTCAGTGCGAATACCCTTACAAGGGTGTCCGCCTTGGGTTTTGCAAGCGACAGAAAATAAATTTGGTCTAAAGGTTAAATATACCGCGAGTGGCGCGGTTGTGTTTGTGTTTGTGCTGACTGAATGGTTGACTAAGAATAGAGAGTGTATGGGTGCGCACACTTAAGGCGCGCGCGATCCTCCTTCTGTTGATGATTGTAGAGCCGACACGGTGGCCGGCCAAATTTTTAGTCCTGGTTGTACTAGGATTAAAAAATATTTTCTCTCTTGATTGGTGTGCTTGCCTGTGACTTATGTGTATGTCGAAGGGCGGCATCGACGACAATGCGGCTTCGAAACGTTTTAGTAGGTCCGCGCGTCACGCACTACCCGCTTATGTAGGTATCCGTCAATACTAGACTCAGCCTTGGGTCTAGCACTATTGGTTAACGGTATCAAACTTTCATCAAAGAGATTCAGGGATCGAAACCGAGAGGCGACAACGCGTGAATATCAGAGTAGCGAGAAGGGACCGAGGGGTCGAGGGCCCGACGGGGCTATCCCCCTTGGTTTTGTCGTTAGATGCGTCGGAACGGTACAAACAGTTCCTTTTCCTCGTCCATCATCTTCGGATGGTTAAAAGGTTCTTAACATTTTATTATTTATCGTTTATTGTTGCATTATTATTATGCTCTGACATTCCTTGACTCAGACGCAAACGCCGAGTTTAGGGGTCGTCACGACAGTCAAGGAGCTTGAGCACACGCCTCTTTTTGGCGGGGCGCTTGAATTTTCTCGTGTTCGAGATATTGACAAAGTTCTTTTATCCGATCCGTCTTGAAAATATGGGCCGATGAGTTCAATGCATATGCGAGTCAGAGGGAGAAGCAGGAAAAAAAACACGGCACAGTGAGGCGAGGTCATTGTAGCAGGTTGTCCCAGCAGAGGTGTTCACACGACACGGAACTCTTACCACTTCGGTCTTCAAAGTTCTCATTTGAATATACGCTACTACCACAAAGATCTGCGCCGGGCCGTTTTACATAGGCCTGCGCTTGGGCATATAGCAGACCCGCGCCCTCGGCTCCGCGGCCTGCTATGAGCAGTTGGGGTAGGCTTTGACCGCTAAGAGGGTGAAGGGGTGACGGGGCCTGATTGAAGGAGGCGGGGCCAAGGGAAACCTAGAGGAGAATGTGACGGAGGTTAGGGCGATAGTAGCCGAAGCAGGCCGGTCGTCAGCCTCCGGGTATAGGGGCGAAAGACTTATCGGACCACGCTGTAGCTGATCTTTCCCAAGGTCTCCCTCGGGCTGGTCGGAGTAGCTGGAGAAGCCGCTACGCTAAGGCGCTGGCGGACCAAGTGAAGGAAGTGAGAGGCAACGGGCAAAGAAGGGGACGCGGCAACGAAAATGAGGAGTGGGAGGAATGGACCCGGGCGTGATTTTGCGTTGGGTACATTCGACAAAGGAAGGGCGGAGATGGCGAAATGGTGAGCCGGGGCGCAGCGGAAAAGGGGGAGCGCTTGCAATACTTCATGGTTTTAGACAAGTAGAAAATGGTTTTGGGGTTTTTGACTCTGGCGAGATGATTGGCGCTGTTAATTTTAGAGTTAGAGTGAACGAGAAAGAGTTAGAGTAAAAAGGGGTTGCATGAAGCTATGGCGGATGGGGGAATGGCGAGAGAGAAGAAATGAAGTATCGCCTATTACTCGAAGAGATCGAGCAGAAGAAGGCTCTACTTCGGGGTTTTTTACTATGGTGACCCTAAATCTGAGGCTAGTTTTAGTAGAATGTTAGTAGGTTAAGAGTTACTAAGAAAAACAAGCTGTGCGGGAGTGTCGAGAAAGTAACTATGGAGGAAGAGAGAAAAAAATATTGGATTTCGGTCGCTTCTTGGCCGATCTCAACAAGTAGAGGCTCTAACTAAAGGTCTTAGGGAGGGTGACTTGAGCGAACGGACATTGGGACAGGGGTCGTGGACTTCTTGGAAACCCGGTTGCTCGTTATCGGCGAATCATCCCTGGTGATGTCACATAAGTTTAAGAATGCGGACTCGATCTAGGACAATGGTTCCCTGAGATTTCGCACGTACAAAGATTTTGCCTCCTTCGGGCCTCGTGTGGAGAAATTTTCCACGGTTGCTAACACCATCCTCAGAATTTCGAATCTCCAACAAGGTGGGGGTTACTTTCTTGAATATACTCTGCCTTGCCGAGGAACTCTGAAAGACGAACTACCCTGATAAAGTTGTGCTTGCAAGACTGAATTGGATGCATCGCCGGGATAACAGTAAGTTCTGGAAAGATATGGCCTGTTTGGTCGAAATCAGGCTCGCCGAAAGATAGTCCGAACATTATGATAGGTTTCTCTGCGATTGGTGCACCTTTCGAAAATTTGCTGACTTCTGCATATCACAGAGGCATATGGCGCCTGGCTGTGCAGACCACGTGTGGCGTGCAGGAGTGGGCTGTCCCAATGGGGAAGGTTTTTGGCAGGGTGGTGCGGTTAGGCTCTATGAGGTTAATCTGTACCCGTTCATGTTTTAGGGACCACGTTTGTTTTTGGCTTGAATTACCTGGCATAAACTGGGTAAGCGAGGACAGCAGTATGGTCGGGTCGCTTACGTTACAAATATTTTACTGCCTGTCTCGGATCGACAGACTTTGTTTGTTTCCGGAGATTTCGTTGGTAGTCCAATTTTTTTGGGAACGCCAGGAATCCCTCATATATTTTTTCGACGGCAAAATTGAGAAGGTTAGGCTGTCCTGCAACAGGGTACTGAAGGACCAATGGGTAGAGGCAAGAAATCCAGGTAGATGAATACACCAGCTGAAGTGTGTCGCCTGGGATGCCCGCAGAAGACGGGCCAAGTACTGAGTCGGCTTCTGCTCGATTAAGTAGCGAAACATATATATATATATATATATATAGAGTAGTAAGTTAGTGTGATTTCCTCAGCCTGAGTGGCGGATGAGTAGAAGGGTTGAGATGCCTCAGCGGTGTGCTGTCGAGGTGTGAAGGGGGGAAGTTGAAGTCGCCATGATATTGAAACGCACATCTTCTTCTTCTTAAGTCGTATCCATTATTGTGTGATTATCTCTATGATACGCAGCCTCACATTCAACCTTGCAATGACTTGGGCATGAATCTGAGGTGCTGAATTTCTCGCGAGATCGTGCTGGTTTATTACCATCTGTGTATTACTATTTATTTCACTTCCATTGGTCTTTATCCAATTTTACCTGTTTTACCTGGGTTTCTTACTCGGTGCGTTGATTCCATCAATATCGATTGCTACGTATGATGTCGAGCGTGTAACTGTTGTGGATGGTGTCCCGATCGGTCACTCTCCTTGTTGAGAGGGGTTCTTTCAGGCAATGTCGGGCCTATCGAGTGGAATTGATGGTGGTTGTAGCAGTGCACGCCTTCGCACGAGCGCTTCAAGGGGATTCTCCAACTGAGATTAGGGGTGCGGTGACGTGGCCCCTCGCTCGGAGGGACGATGTTCTCAGCGCGCACGCACCGACGGGTGGTTATCTTGCACATTAACGCTCTAGACGACGGGAGGGCGCCTCCTAAGGTATCGATAAACGCGTCTTCGATCGACGTGGAAGACCGGCGGTGGTGACGTGTCTCATGTTCTGGCGTTTTCGATCTTCAGATCTGTAGATCGGCACCAAGTATAGCGAAGTGAAGCATAAGATTGGCCTCGGCCTTGATTGGATATTGTTCGCCTTCTCCGTACTAAGTCGTATGTACGGGAGAGGCCGCAACGGTAGCAGGGGGGCTAAGCGTGGTAGGTGGTCTAACTGCGGCCGTTATTGGACGAACATGAGTAATGGACAGCAGGTGCCGAACCAAGCTGGTGCTGAACAGTATAATCCTGCCCCACCAGGCATCGTGCCTTCGTACACCATGCCCGTTGGACAAGCGCAAGGCGTGGGCATGTAGCAGCAGCCCGTCGTGATGCCACCATCGACTCCCATGCTGCCTCCTATGAGCGTCACTCCTGTAGCGCCTAGTACCGCGCCACCTGGGGCCGCTCCTTGGGTTATGCAGCTGTGGCCGGCTAATGCTCAATGGCCGGATGCCATCCCATGGCAGATCACTCCAGTTAGTAATGCCCAGCAGTCAAGTGCGCAAGTACCAAGCGTACAAGGTGGGGACCTGCCTGCTGCCAAAGCTCAGTCGAATGGTGATAGCCGATCGTCCAACCACAATGTAAAACACGGAAAAGGGCCTGCTGCGAACGCCTTCCCGGACCCTGGTAACCGTGCGTACTTCACTAAAGAGTACATGGACATTCTGGAGGACATCAAGTCGGAGAAAATCCTGGATGCCACGAAGAAGAGGGTTGTTGGAAGTAGGATGGGGGGCGTGCGAATTTCGGACAGCGCCGATGAAAGCTGCAGATCGGAAGTCCGCTCGAGCAACGAGGCGGACGAAATGAAGGCTTGGGTCACCTCGACCCTCGGGGACTCGCTGAAGTCGATCACGAAGAAGCTTGATGAGGTGGATTTCAAGGCTAAGTTGGCTACTGCCGAGAAGAAAGAGCTATTGCGACTCAGAGCCGAGAAGGCGGTCATCGAGAAAGTTAAGAAGGAGTCAAGTAGCGAGAAGCGAAAGCGGGGCGCTGTTGCGGAGCCGATGGTTGTTACGCCCGCCAGCAATGCGAATCGTTGCAAGACTCGATCGAGAGGGAGCTCGATAGGGTGATCTCGTCGTGTGGAGATTTCATCGGACGAGGAAGATGCTGATGTAGGCCAAGTGCGACAGAACCTGAGCGAAAGAATGGAGAAGCGTAGCGTCCTGTCTGAGGTAAAGAAAATGCTCACTGCGATCGTGCAAGGTCTTGCTGATGTGAAAGGCAAGCAGCCTATGGTTGAGCCGGGAAGACCCTCTGCCGACGAACACAGAAGAGAAGATGAGGACGATGCTGAAGACGTGGACGTCGCAGTAAACTCCCAAGACCATGAGGAGGATGAGGTTGATGAGGATGGCTTGGTTGCGTATATGAAGATGCGGCAAGATTTTTACATGTCATTGCACTACACTAGGGTGCAGGAACTATATAAGCAGAGAGAGATACCGTACTTTCATAAGGAACCAGCGACATGGGAATTGGCAAGGGTCGATCTGCAAGAATATGCAGACCAATTGAATGGTAATGCCCCTAATGCTGCTAACGTCGGGATTAAAGGCGTTGAACCTTCTTGAAAGACGACTGAAAGGAATACGGACAATGCAGAGACGTGTAACGAGAAGGGTGTCGACTCCATCGCTCGGAACTGATTAGGGAGCTTTCGCTCCTTGAGAAGAGCGCAGAGACGCATTTGGACCTTGAGATGCTTAGTTGATAGTAGTTTGCAGTCTCTGTTGGATAAGATTCAGGTTCTAATCGTTCTTTTGGCATGTCTACAGGGGGATATAGCGTGGGGACGGGCATACGTACCTTTTTGGCTGCGCATGATGAATGAGGAATGAGGCTGCTTACTTGATGGACGCTATTGTGTGTATGCACTTATGTCATTGGATTTTAAACTGGTGTATGTGGGAAAAACTGTTTGCCCACTACGGGAGAGGTGGTTTGAGCACTGCAGGGCCGTAAAAACTGGCAGTGGGCAGTTGGTACATTCGTGGCTTCGTAAGGTTGGGACTAAACATTATATCCCTATCCCCATCTGGTTTGGCGCTGCTCTGGCTATTGAAGGCATAACACCCAAGATAATTCAGATCTATAAGCCGGGGCTGAACATCAAAGGACGTTGACAGTCTAAGTCATCCCGGGAAGGTCGGGGGAAGAAGCGGGCCGGACGGAGGCCATCACCTCCCGTTGCCATACCCGAACCTCTGTTGTTTGACTGTCCGACTGTTGATGTGTGTCAAGATTCCGATCTTCTGAGTATCCTGAAGCTGCTGGAGAAAAGGAAGGGTTGTTATCCTGTGGGAATTTGTAATAAGTCGGGGTGTCGTTGGCTTAAAGCCTGGCGGTTGGTGAGCCTGTTGTATGGGTTTTCTAAGATTGAGTGCGATGGCAGGAAGATGTTGTTGAAAGATGCCAAGGCTTCAATTGAAGTAGGAGGGTGCTGGTTCGTCACCCAACTGTGTAGGACTCAAACTAAGACTGACGTGATGAAAGCTCACCTAAATGCCCTGCTTCGTGCACTGTGGAAGCGAAAGGATTTGTACGCGTGCTCGTTGGATGAATTGATAGACTATAACAATGGCGTTAAGACGATTAACCAGCAGCGTGGCCGACAGATCGTGCGAGGTATCCTTACCAATGTTTTCAAATGGAAATTTGGTATTAACCCGAGATTAAGTATCAAAGTGAAAATCCCTTATTGTACTATTGTGGACAAAAACCGAGTTGCTGACTGTGTGAGAAACTGGATTATGACACATGTTGTTCCGGTATCGTTAGCTGACTTGTATGCTAGAAGGACGAAAGCGGTATGGCTGAAAGCCCACACCGTCGGAGACCTGTTGCATAACCAGAAGCTATTTGCGCAAACACAAGAGTTTGACTGTGTGTGCACTGGCTTCAAACTCCCTAAGGTGAATGGGCAAGTTGCAGTCAAGCTCAGCGAATTCAAGTTGGAAGGCATTGGCCCTTTCCTGTTTAACTCTAAACATATTCCCTTTCTTGGTACTTTTACGAATAAGGATGCTGTGAATATGGCATGTAGCACTTCCATTGCAGAACTCCGACGGACTTGGGTAGTGAACGAGGACATTCATGTGAACTGGCTGACCGTTTGTAAGACTGGGATAACGAAGTCGGATGACTGTGCCCTGAGCGAGTACGTCAGAGGGGTTGGACAGTCCTTGTTTGGCCTGGTCCTGTCCCCCCTTGATCGTAATACCTCTGAAACATGGGTGGAATGCCCAAAACTGTATGAAATAGGGCTACGTAAGATGTACATAAAAAACGAGAACTATGAAATAGTACAGGAATCGAAAGATGCAGTTCTCTCTTAGATGAAGGAAAGATATGGCAAAAACCGACTGCGGGAAATCAGTAAATGGGATGTGAAAGGTGACATGCAGCATGCCTATGTTCTATCGAAGGAAAAAAACAAGACAAAGAAAAGACTCATAGTCCTGTCCTTTCTGAGCCCATTCTGAACTGCCTCAAGATTGTTGTCCACTGCGTTGAATACACTGATCAAACGGACGAATGTACCATATTTCAACCTACGGGCGATCGGAGACCTGAAGCCCGAAAGTTTCAGAATCAACCAGCTGTGTACAAGACTGGGGCTGGGGGACCATGGGTTTGAAGCTCGCACATACAACATTAAAAAAATGTTCACGCAATTACCCCATACTGAGATCATCCTTGCGATTAGATGGATCGTGGAAATGTTTCAGCAAAAGGGACTGAAGTGGATTCGAATTAACTCCCGAAAGAAGTTTGCCATCTTTGGCAAATCACATGGTGAAGCGGGATGAAAGTTTGTGTGGTTGAGTATGTTGGTGAAACTAACCAACTTCCAGCTGGACAATACCTTTTTTATGGTATCTGGGATGGTTCTGCGTCAGAAGCGAGGTATTCCCATGGGGGGAAGGGCAAGCCCTCCGCTTGCTTCTGTGATGTGTATGCGCACTGAGTTAATTTTTATGTCCTCGCTCGAAAGGGATGCTCGCTTGATCACTGGTAAAAGATATATCGATGATCTATTTTTTCAAAAAAAGGTGACCAGGAGAATTGTCGATTGGCCAGCGAACGGCTGGATCGTATTACCAGTTGTTATCCAGATGGACTGCAACTTGAGTGAACAGACATTGGGACAGGGGACCTGGACTTCTTGGAAACCTGGCTGCTCGTTATTGACGAATCATCCCTGGTGATGTCACATAAGTTTAAGAATGCGGACTCGATCTGGGACAATGGTCCCCTGAGATTTCGCACATACAAAGATTTTGCCTCCTTCGGGCCTCGTGTGGAGAAATTTGCCACGGTTGATAACACCATCCTCAGAATTTCGAATAACTCCAACAAGATGGGGGTTACTTTCTTGAATATACTTTGCCTTGCTGAGGAACTCTGAAGGACGAACTACCCTGATAAAGTTGTGCTTGCAAGACTGAATTTGATGCATCGCCGGGATAACAGTAAGCTCTAGAAAGATATGGCCTGTTTGGTCAAAATCTGGCTCGCCGAAAGATAGTTTGAACATTACGATAGGCTTCTCTGTGACTGGTGCACCTTTCGGAAATTTGCTGACTTCGGCATATCACAGAGGCATATGGCGCCTGGCTGTGCAGACCACGCGTGGCACGCAGGAGTGGGTTGTCCCAATGGGGAAGGTTTTTGGCAGGGTGGCGCGGTTAGGCTCTATGAGGTTAATCTATACCCGGTCATGTTTTAAGGACCACGTTTGTTTTTGGTCTGAATTACCTTGCATAAACTGGGTAAGCGACGACAGCAGTATGGTCGGGTCGCTTACGTTACAAATATTTTACTGCCTGTCTCGGATCGGCAAACTTTATTTGTTTTCGGAGATTTCGTTGGTAGTCCAGATTTTTTGGGGACGCCAGGGATCCCTCATATATTTTTTCGACGGCAAAATTAAGAAGGTCAGGCAGTCCTGCAACAGGGTACTGAAGGACCAATGGATAGAGGCGAGAAATCCAGGTAGATGAATACACCAGCTGAAGTGGGTCGCCTCGGATGCCCGCGGAAGACAGGCCAAGTACTGAGTCGGCTTCTGCTCGATTAAGTAGCGAAACATATATATATATATATATATATATATATATATATAGTAGTAAGTTAGTGTGATTTCCTCAGCCTGAGTGGCGAATGAGTAAAAGGGTTGAGATGCCTCGGCAGTGTGATGTCGAGGTGTGAAGGGGGGAAGTTGATGTCGCCATGATATTAAAACTCACATCTTCTTCTTCTTAAGTCGTATCCATTATTGTGTGATTATCTCTTTAGGGAGGGCGACCTCATTGGTGAAGTCCAAATGGAGGAAGGATTAGTAGGAAGTGAAATGAGAGGGAAAAGTGGCGCGTCGAGGTTGCACGAGGATGGAGAAGAATGGGATGGAAAGTGAAGAGTTCGTCGATTCTTGATGAAAACGGGCAGAAAAGGAAGGGATTCTAGGGTTATCAAGCAGGCGAGCACATTAGTAGAGTTAGATTTGGGGATAAGTCGGTGATAATGGTGAAGCAAGTTGCAGGGGCTGCGTGCGTGCGGGCGAGGAGAATTTCAAAGCGACGTGTATCTGACCGTTTTTCCACAAAAGGTTCATTCTGATTGTGCTCGCCTTATTGAAGGAGAGGAGGGGGATGAATGATTCTGGCCGAGTTGTGGGCCAAATACACTAGACGGTGAGAAGACTGATTTTTCTTATAGATGCTAACATCGCAGCATAGCACACCTCACCTTGAGCTCCTCATTGTCAAAGTACTGGTGTTGCTCATAGAAGCCTCCGTCAAATGGTTGTCGATAGTCTCCGTGAAGTTGCGCTTCAGTTTGGTTGTCCCTATCTCGATTAGTTAGCAGCCCCCCCTCCCGGCGTTCGACTGCAGACCATTGTGGTAGGTGTCTGAAGAGGGAGTCATCATTACTTGTAAGCTCGACTGACAGCGTTCTGAACTTTTGTAGCGGGCGGGTAGTCACTATACTACGGAAGTTGCAATTGATGCTGCATCTACTGCATACTATTGAAGGGTGTCCCGAATATCGGGGTTACTACAGCTCTTGTCAAGATATTGGGTTGACCCTGCTGTCCGCTCAGAGAAAAGTTGTTTTCTGGGAAGTTGCAATTACGTGAGTTGCTAATGTCGTCTTTAGGCACTACTGTGGCTTAGGTTGTTGACAGGCGTTGACATATTAGAGTCAATCGTGTTAACGAGTTGCTGCCTGCTCTGGATTGGGAGTGCACTCTACTGTAGGCACTTTGTTTGTTGAGAGTCGCTGTGTTTTGCTTGCACCGCGAATAAAGCACATGAAGGAAGCGCACT